CTCTGTTACTTGTGCCGCTGAAATATAATCCTCTTCTGCTTCAACATCCTCGTTCGCTTCTGATTTATTAGCTCTTTTCCCTCTTGGAGGCATTTTAATAGTTGTAGAATTTGTTCAAAGACTTGAAAATGTAGAAGATATGAAAAATCGTAGAACAGACAAGAGGAGCAGTAAAGACGTCTGCTCTCGCTTGCAACCCGGAAAATGCTTCTCGCTTTTATACTAAAGTGCTTTACAGTGTCCCTCTCATTCAGCATGCACAGCACAGGCCAGGCCATGAGGAGCAATTGGGGATCAGAGTCTTAGAAAGGATATTGGAGAAGTGTAGGCAGGAGGAGCTGGACATGAAACCACCAACCTTGCTGTTAATGGCCCACCTGCTCTACCTCCGGGGTGACCACCACCAGATAACAATGAATCATTATAGGTTAAGTTATTTACTTGTGTCCCCTTGTCATGGAGTTAATACAGTGTGTATCAGTCCATGAGTGAGTTTCCTCTGCAGTTTATTAAAGGATGAAAAGATAAATTTCTCCACTCTTTTACAAGAAAAGCAGTGATTATAGGGCATCTTGGTGGTCTAGTGATTAAGATGCAAATCATAATAGTATCCCCCCACCCCGCCACGGGGGTTGGGAACCACTGTTTTAATGAGTTCCTGTTTCTCTTTCAAGTTATACATTATAGTATACTTGTTTCCTGTCTAAGTTCACCAGAATGTCTTGTGCAGTACCACAGACTTCCCTGCAGGTTTGATCATGCAAGCTCCATAATAGCCTGGACAGATCTAGGTCAGGCTAAGCATGAAGAGGTAAAAGGAGAGCACAGCAAACTACAGACAGCTGACAAATTAAAAGGAAAACCTGAATGCTTGACTCCTACAGTGAGGGCAGTCACTGGCTCTTTTATGCTGTGGGGGTCATTTTGCTAGCATGGTTTGGATTCACTTGACCCCTTCAAGTGAAGGGCCACTGCAAATCAATAAAAGGTTGCTCAGAGTGATCCTCTGATTCATGAGTTTGACTTGAGTTTGTCTCAAATCCAAAACTCATTCAGACTGTAATCTGGAAAATTATATTTATCCTAAAATTACTTGCACTCTCAGCACCTCAGCTTTGGGTTTTTCTCATCTGGATGTTGCGTTCAGGGGTGGGCCAGCCTTCCATGCTAAATGAATCCTGCCCTGATTTCATTAGGCCACTTTTTATAACACTGCAGCAGATGGTGAACCACACACATTCACACATCACTGACACTCACGCTGTAAAACTCTGAGAAGCAACCTCGCCTCCTCTCTCAACTTTTGTCTTCCACTTTGCTTCTTCTTCACATGCTAGCAGTGCAAACACCAAAGTGGCTGGCATTTAGAGGTTACCCTAACTAGAATGGCGCTGCTTCTGCACAAAACCTACTAAGAATACATCTCAGCTGCTTATTAAGGACTTAACTAGTAAACATGGATTGTGCTTGAAATGTAAGAGGACAACAAGGCCGAGGTTCTGTCATGTGTGTTTTCTGTGTTGCTTCAGTAATCTTCCTATAGGTTTCATATTTTAGGTATGAGGCTTGAAAATGTGCCTCAAGTATCTGTTGAGCGCAGATGTGAAATATTTGCTGAGAGCTGCTGCCATGCAATGAAATGAGACGCAGGGTGGGAATTAAAATAAACAACCCACGCAGGATGCTATAGATGCCTGTATTTCAGAAAAAAACATTTTATCAGGTCTCCTAAGTGTGTTTACAACTATATCAAATACTCTGCATGGTCTGTCTATAATGTTTCATAGGTATTACACAGAACTGAAAGGTGTTCTCCTGGGGACTAACACAACATGCACAGCACATAAATTACCCCACTTTCATCACCTCCACAGTCAAATGTGGAGTCTGTTTTGCATGATCTTACTCTGGTGAATGGTTTGAATTATAGATTTTCCACATGTGACAGTGTGATGAAACATGATCTGACTCCTGTTTTCTGTCGCTCGAGTGTCTCTGTGTGTGTGTCGGCAATGACATCAGGTCTGAGGGTCAATAGACAGAGGACAGACCACGGCCAAAGGATGATGGATTACGCTGTACTGATTTATTCACACATACACACACAACTACAGAGCCACCACACAACATAACCAAAGTATGCCCCCTTTCAAATTCCTACATTTTAAGAGTGAATTATGTGCATATAATAAGTATTTACATGGACAAAGCTATTTGTTATTTATGTGTATGAACACATACACACATTAGCATGCGTGTGTCTAGTGCCAGGGTCAGTTTCCTCCTGTCAAACAGTAACAGGGCAGACAGGGAGCAGATTGGTATGAAGAGCAGACAGAGGTAAATGCCATCACCTTTTATAGACAACGACACGGCTGCACACTCACAGACATACACAGGGACACACGCAACAGTACAGTATATTTCTAAATCCAAGGAGAACAGATGGCCTCGAGATTGCATCATAAACTAATAACAAATGGCAACTTTACACTGCTACTCAGTTTATGGTCAACTCATTCCCATAACGTACCTATTGTGCAATACACATGGCTCTGAGAGCAAAAATACACGACTCTATCATCAAGGCATAAACACGCAACATGCTCACAATGAAGAAACATACACACATTCTGAGTGTGTTTGAGGGGAAAATATGATCGTCTAAATAAAAAGAAATTCTTACCTATGTGGTAGTTGACCTGCTTGTTTGGCAAAGAAAAGGTTCCCATCACAATCCCCATGTTGACTTCTGGCTGCAGACAGGTTGTGTATGTCAGTGTGTGTGTCTGGGTCTATATCTTCAAGGTGTGCTAGTGAATGTGCGTAGAGTGGGTGTGTGGATATGCTGTAATTAAGTTAGTCCATCAGCCAGCTGTATGTGTGTGGAAGTACAAATATCACTTCTCATACTGCCTCACACCCACACAGCTCTGCTGCTTCTGCTCAAGTGTGTGTGTCCGTGTGAGTGAGTGAAAAAAAGAGGGAGGAGATATGTGTGTGTGTGTGTGTGTGTGTGTGTGAATGAAATAGAGGGCACACATGCACTCATAAGCTACCTCTGTCTACGTTGTCTCTGAAGCCGCCCATTTTACATCCCTTCTCTTTCTTTTTCTACCTGGCAAGCCCCTCCTCTCTTTCCTCACTGCCCCCCTTCTCAGTGTGTCTCCTGCCACCAGACTGTCATTCCATCAATTTCTCTGTGCCTCTTTATGTATCTGCCTCTCTGTGTCTCTGCTTCTCTATACTCCCTCTTCACCTCCTATTCGTCTCAGTCGCTCTGTCTCTGTCTGGTGAGGAAAGAGGGATTGCACACTGCTGCACCGGAAAAGACAGAGACAGAGAGAGAGGGAGTGGGAGACGGAGAGGGGTGTGTGGGGAGACAGGGGCAAAATTCAAGAGAGACAGGGAGAAGAGGAAGAAAAGGGATTTAAAAATGATGAAGAGGAAGAGAAGAAAATAGAGAAGAAGAGAAAAAGAGACAGAGACAAATTTGGAAGATTCACAAACAGTAGGGGATGCAAAGTCATAGGGAGAGAGGGTAGGAGGGGAGGGGAGATAAAGAGGGCTAGACTGATCCGCCCACCCTTTGCTATTCAGCAGGCCAATAGTCTGTGGGTTGTATTTCCTGCTTTATTTCTACATGCATGAGCCTCACAGGTGGTGTGAGTCTGTACATGTGTGGGTTGCAGACAAAGCCCTGTACATGCAACACCACTACATTTGGAGAACGGTCATCTAGCACATGTCAGCACATGCATCATCATATTGTATCAGAGATGCTCTCGAGTCTAACAATGAATCCATCAACCACACATAGGTCACAGAATCTACAGCAGTACAACCAGGGGAATGGCAGCAGTCCACCTCACACATATACTCCTCTGTCAGTCATGCTTAACCCCTCTCTGCACTCCATGTAACACCCTACTGTTGAGGCTGGCAAGCTGCGACAGCTGTATCGACTTCAGCCCTTATTGGAATTCCTAACATGGTGTTAGTTAACCCCTCCTTGAACCGCCACCTTATTGTGGTGGAGGAGTTTGAGTACCCGAGTGATCCTAGGAGCTATGTTGTCGGGGGCTATATGCCCCTGGTAGGGTTTCCCAAGGCAAACAGGTCCTGGGTGACGGGTCAGACTAAGA